TGGCGATCAACACACATCGAACATTACTGTAAGAGTTGAGAGTGTGCAGGGGCGTAGCACCCGCTACCACTGGTATGATCAACACACATCGAACATTACTGTAAGAGTTGAGAGTGAGGAGGGGCGTAGCACCCACTACCACTGGTATGACCATGGCCGTACCACTTTTCGAAAAGTGTGGTCCGTCTGGAAAGTGCAAGACCGTAATAAAAAAATCGGGACCCATCAGATCTTTGACTTTTGTTTACATTAATTTCGAGAAGAAAGGACCAAAAGTTGCAATGTTACCCGAAGTTGTCCAACACCGACAATTATAAGCAAGCTATTGGCGAGTCAACGCTTGCAACAGTTACCACAATAGGGACTGCTGTGGTACTGACATTCAGCGACCTGACGTTTAGCTCCATCACGTCTCGATACGTCTCGTCTCTTGCTTATTATAATTGTCGGTGTTGGACCGATAACATTTTAACTTTTTCTTGATTTAATCCCTTGGTCCAAGAGTACATTTATTTCATTTGTTTAAAAAGAATGTAATTTCTTGCTTTCTCTTTGTAGGTGCCCGGACCAAGTTTGCAACGAATCGGTACTTCGAAACTGGCTGGCATGGTTTTGATTGCTCGGAGAAAGCTGCTTTGTTTTTGCCTCTCGTCGTCTTTTTAGCTATTTTTTCACCCCCATTTTTAGTGTCTGGTACACACAACAAGAAATTTCAAAATTTTGCTGACTTTCTCAATTTACCGTGAGATTCATGGCGGTACTGCAGCATTATTAAGGTAGCAGCATGTTCTGTGTATGGCAGCAGCCACGTGACAATCCTGTTGTCATGACGATATCAAATAGTATACATATAAATTCATTACATGTGCCGGGGTGCAGTAAAACTCTGCAGAATAGCAAAATGCTAACAAAGAACGGACACTGAAAACTGTACAGGAGGCAATAGAATATAGCTAGCAGTAGGCAAACGCTATGCAAGAAGAAATGAATGATGTGGAGATAGCGAGAGACACTAGATCAAGTTTATTTTGACTCTTGTTGTAGTCTTTCCATGTTAATCTTTCCATGTTGGCTAGTAGGATGTGGAGCTAACAATGGGCGACGATAGCAGTGCAATTAGTAGTTGATTGCGCCCTCGCCACCTTCAGAGTACAGTGGATTAGAGATACCTGGTCGTGAATGGCCGCTTGGTCCACCGAGGGCCGACATGCCACGCAGACTGCCAGTCTAAGTAGCACAGGATTGAAGAGAGAGAGACATACGATCAGATGTGCAACTATTTTTAAAGGGGAAGTTAAGGCAAAAATTAAAATTTCACCAGTTGTAGTCTTCGGGGTGCTGAGTCGAATGGTCTTGGTCCGAGGAAGCTGAGACGCTCCCTTCCTGCTTGAATCCCAATCGAACTCGCGCACTTCCACCGAAACTGGGTGACTGCGCCCTACGAGATGGGGATTTGTATGCAAAATGTCACTAAAAGCGCCATTTCGTTCTTATAAAAGCACGGATGACCGCGATTGGCCCATATGTTGTAGTCTTTTGGACGCTGAGTCGACTGGTTTTGGTCCGAAAAGGCTGCGATGCAGCGTTCCTCCTTTATTCCCAATCGAACATGGTTGAACAAGCGGTCACGTGCTCCTGCGTACACCAGTCACCTGGTCACCGTGCCTGCAGGGTACAACTTACTAGCCTGTTTGACCTTTTTTGGGTGCAGTCCTGTCACTCGAGTTGAACTCGAGTTGAACCTTGGTGTGAAAGTTGTCGCCTGCTGGCGTGGTGACCAGGTGATTTGGGCACCCAGGAGCATGTGGCCGCTTGTTCAACCATGTTCGATTGGGAATAAAGGAGGAACGCTGCATCGCAGCCTTTTCGGACCAAAACCAGTCGACTCAGCGTCCAAAAGACTACAACATATGGGCCAATCGCAGTCATCCGTGCTTTTATAAGAACGAAATGGCGCTTTTAGTGACATTTTGCATACAAATCCCCATCTCGTAGGGCGCAGTCACCCAGTTTCGGTGGAAGTGCGCGAGTTCGATTGGGATTCAAGTAGGAAGGGAGCGTCTCAGCTTCCTCGGACCAAGACCATTCGACTCAGCACCCCGAAGACTACAACTGGTGAAATTTTAATTTTTGCCTTAACTTCCCCTTTAACTTATTTTAGTCGTGCAGAATTCAGTTTCCGACACTTTTACCTTCCACATTCCGAAAAAAAGAGAGAGAAAAAGGAGACGCATGCTAAGTATACTGCCTGCCTGTGTGACTGATTGTTCGACTGGGTGACTGACTGGGTGACTGGTTGACTGACTGTGTGAGTGTGGGACTGACTGTGTGAGTGTGTGATTGACTGTGTGACCAACTGGGCGAGTGTGTGGCTGTGTGTTGTTGAGATAAGGGAAGTTGCACTTACCGGTGTTTCCATGCCAGACGTCAAAGGTAGCTGTGGAACAGCACGGGGAAACAAGCACATGTGAATCAATTAGAACTTTTTGCCAGGTTAAGTTTTCCACCATTTTCTATCTAATACAACAACACCATAAGATTATAAGTGGAGGAGATTCATATTCTCAAGAGTCCCGTCTAACCCATATCAACAGGATCAGTGTAGCTGTTGTACACAAGGATTATGGTATTGAGTATGTTGCGTAAACAGGATTGGCACTACTGCAGTATTTTCAGCGTCTTTTAACCCTTTACCGGTCTACCATAAGCGAACCGATACTATAGTATCGGTACGTTTGGCCCTCATTTTTTTGGGGTCTTGTTGCTAGGAGACAGCTAAAATGGCGCTCTACGCGTAGCTGAGGTCCAAGGCTTTCTGACGATGTACAAAACAACCATGCTTACCATACAAATTTTTGCCGTATCGATCGACTGAAGTTTGTTGAAATTGGAAAAGACGACCATCCGCCATGCGTGCATTTCGAGAATGCGAGTGCATCTCTTGGGGCCGTGTTTGACAAGCGTTCTGAGAGCAGTAACACCACCAGTCCAGGCTGGATCTCCCGGGAGGTTTTGCAGTGTAGTGCTTTGAGAAAAAGAGCTCCGTTGAGTCCTGCTAGTTCAAAAATATGTCGTCCACGAATGAAGAAACAAAATTCTCCAAACAGAGAGGAAGCCTTCTTGCTGCCGACACGGCGACAGCGACTGTCACAAGGACTCTTCAGGTGCGATCAGCTGATTCGCCTGGCCGTGAGAATCACGGCATGCGTAAGCTCGCGCCTGAGTGCTCATCTGAGCGAGAGTGAATCTGACGCGAGCAGCCCTGAGATGAACAAACCGAGGCTGCGATATCGTGGAATGGGAATTGCTGCTGCTGGCGTATCGCCGATGGCGAGGTGTTGGTGGTCAATGGCGGTATTGTAGAGAGCCTACATTTCTTGTAAAGACGTAGCCCTTACCTGATTGTTTATCGTACGACTTCAGCTCCATCACGAACTTGGTATGCCCTTCGTGCTGTGATATTCGTGTATTTCATTCGCAATTGTATTTTCTCTCAACTTGAAGGGCTACCATGGGCCCTATCCTTGCCTGGACCTAGTCATTTTTGAATTTTCTGGACGCGTTCAGGCATACAGATTTTGAAAATATATGGTTTACCCATACCTACATCACACGGTTCTTGAGTTATTGCTGGTTGTGTGTACATGTATTTGCGTGACCACCCCTCACATACATTGAGTTAGACCGGCAAAGGGTTAAGAAAAAAAGTACTTACATCATCATTAAATCGCTCGAATCCAGAGCCATGTGGGGCGGGGCTGCGCGCATTTGGTTGGGGCTTGCGCCTGCATCGACAAGGGCAAAGGAAAATAGCAAAGCAAACGTGCATTGGCAAGATAATTATGTTTGGTAATGCTGCATGTCAACTGAGAGGAAGGCAAGTCAAGACAACAACGATGTAGATCTACATGTAGTAGGATACTTTTTTTCATTCATTTTGTGTCGGGTTAATTTTTTCACTGGTCATGTTTTGTTTGCCCGGAGAAGAGGCTTTCACATGCGTGAAAAACCCAAGGTTGTAGTCAGTTGTGGAACATGTACCGGTGACCAAGTGTGCGACACAGCAAATGAAACTTGCGACAGGATGAGTGTGTAGTGTTTGAGGAATGCCGCCGGCTTACCTAGAGACAACAAAGATGATGGCTAGAAGGGCTACGATCAGCACCAATCCGGCCAGGATGCCCACACCGACGAGAAGAGCAGTGTCTGTTGGGGAAGACAACACACGCAGGGAGATAGCACTTTGCATCAGACACATTGTCGAAAGGAAGAAGAAAAAAGATTCTGCTGTTGGTAGCAGGTTCAGTGATCACGTTGTGCGAGTATGCATTGCTATTGGCAAAGTAAACAGATCTGGACGAAGCATAGGTCCATTATCCGTGTATACAGTTGTGGCGGAAGCATAGGCTCGTTGCACGGGGGCTCGAGTAGGCATTGCTATTGTCGAAATTGCACGACAAACAGGTTCACTATCTGTGTAAAGAACAGTTATGTGGGCGAAGGATATGATTGTCTTGATTGCTGATACATGTATCTCAACTTACTGTTGGCAGTGGTGCCGCCTACGCCTGTCTGTGCCTCCGTGGGTGCTATGTCCTGGTCACGGCACAGTAGACCACCAAAACCAACAGGGCACCTTGGCAACAACAAACAAGAAAATGAATTATTAGTAACGGATATACAATACTGGCCAAGACACTTGAATCTGACTAGACTTCAGCAGTGATACTGTTACCCTGATGCAGAGGGCTATGTGGGTGTGGACAGGTGGGAGATAGGCATAACAGTATGGCAACTGTGCTCTGTGGTACTTGCGCTGCTGTTCTGCTCTCCTCCGTCAGTGATGTACTGTGCACTCAAGATTCCACCGGGACATGCTCAGCCATACAGTACACGGCATGCTCATTGAAGTACAACCCGGGGAGCAAGTCAGCGCCTGCACTAGCCCAGTGTTGAAAGGCATGGGGCTGCATAGCGCCCGACTCTAGTTGACTTGTGTGCAATGGAATTTCATTGAGCAGCAGCAGCATGTCTCGACTGCAGCATTGAGTACTTACTGGCAGTATGTTATTCCCGTGTTGGGGTTGTAGTTGCAGCGTCCGCCATTGCTGCAGGCCAGGGCTACTTGAGCGGCACAAGCTACACACGCGAAAGACAAGGTAGAAAAGAGATGGTATACACGAGGACGCTAAAGTAGAAGTTGGCAGAGGACAGTAGCGGCCATGTGGTGGTGCATGATAGCTGCGGTGTATCCTAGCAGAGCAACGAGGACTATTGGCCCAGTCAACGTATACCAGTAGATACTTACGTTGTTCTACTCCGGTTTCTTGATGTTGACAGTAAAGACCTGAGTAGCCAGGTTTGCAGCTGTGCAACAACAACAACAAAACAAAATGAAGAGAATGTGCTATTTTGCAGGCACACAAACTAATGTAAGACAATGATGAGATTTAACAAGATCGAAACAGCCAGCTGTCCGCAGATTGAGTAAGATGGTATGCTATGCGGCTTCTTTCGCCATGGCCAGGGCTCTAGGAAAGACTGTCCGGGGATAAGAGGAGAGTGAATGCCGTTGACGGCGGTGATGTTACTGTACTGAAGTCAAGTAGACAAGAAATTCGTGTTTCAACTTTTCAAGCGACGAGGAGCCCAGACTTACAAGCATATTGGAAGTCCATCGGCATCCAACTGACAGCTGGCACCATTCTGGCAGGAATCCAGCGCAGACGGACATTCTAAGAATGGAGAGCACAGCACAGCACAAAAATCCTTCTGAATATAGCAGCAATCTCCTAGAAATGGGTGCTGTAGTTTGTACGCCGCCCAATGGTCAAGTTACCGAGTCCCGAGTCAAGATTATGCCTTTGCCCAAAAAAACAAAGCCGGAAGAGATTGCCGGCCCTCACTGGACATCAGTGGTTTGAGTTGATTGCAACAGTATTAGCCATTCCTTGCTCTACCTGGGCAGGTACTACCCAGGAATCTAGCAATGAAAGTACATTGGATTGCTTTGGATTGCACTTACTTTGTCCTGCAAGCGACCTGGTTGTTGGGCCTGTAAGAGACACACAAAACGACATTCCAGTGATTCAGGCAAGGCGGTAGCTAGTAGCTACAATAACGTTAGTTACTTGACGACTAAGACTTGTATTGGGAAGGTACATGATTACTACAGCGAGGATAGAATGCTCCACTGTACGCTTACCTTCAGTCTGCACCGCAGTTGTTCCAGTTTGTTGTGTGGTTGCTGGAGCTTCTGAGAGAGCATACACAGAGGGAGAACAAGCAATGGTTATGTACATTGTAGCTCCTGAAAGATCAAATTCATGAGCCTGATCATAAATCCGTCGTCATGCACTGAGCCATGGTTGGTCAAGTAGGAACAGTTCAGCATATTCACAAGTAGAATGACACTGGTAGCCTGATAATGCTAGGATACCTAGACAACAGAATGCAAATACGAACCCAGCGTAAAGTGTGCTGGCTGTGAACTCACGTGTTGTGGTGGGAGGTACTGGAGTGCCAGTGAACACCTGCGTTGCCTGTGGTGTGGGAGTGGTGGCAGGGCAGTACAGCTCGTCGGATCCGTCACGGCAGTCGTACAGGTGGCCGTTGCAGCGAGCCGACTGCGTGATGCACTGGCCGCTGTGGCATCTCCACTGGTTGTAGCGACAGACAGCAGTCGTCACTACACATGGAATTGGCAGTGTGGGTTGGGAAGCAATGGACAAAATTAACACTTGCCATGCACTGCTTACCAGCTAAGTTAATGTGTCATACTGTACGGCAGCAAGCAAGGAACTGGCAATACCTGCACCAAGCCTATCTACTGTGACCCATGCCATTGTGAATGAGAAGAGGCAGCATTTGACAGTATGAGCGGTGTGATGAACAGGAATGCATAATACAAGCCAGTCGAGCATTGGTACATGTACTTACGGACGCAAGTTGGCTGCACGCCGCTCCACTGGCCGTTGATTTCACAAGTACGCACGGCCGAGCCCATAAGGACATAGGGAGATGTGCACACAAACGTGGTCGTGTTTGTGAACATCAAGCCGTTCACGGTCATTGAGCCCAGTGCCGGTGGTGACAGGACCTGACAGTCGGTTTGACCTGCACAAGCACAGAGTGCACAGAGCACAGGCATTCAGTGCATGCATTTTTGCGTATGTGTGTGTGGCTGAAAGGCGCAAATGCAGAGACGTTGGTTTTGAATACATTGTAGTACACGCATTGTGTAAAGGAAATTGATGCAAAGACTGCCTCGACACGGCCATGCAAAGTAATAAAATAGATACAGCAGTGAATAGTGGTCAACAGTAGCTCTACATGTTGCTTGTAATAGAAGTCATGGTACTACTATCAGTGCTGCTGCTGCTGGTGCTTACCTGGAGCTGGTGTGGCCTTGCCTGGGCAGTACTGTTCATCAGAGCCATCAGCACAGTCGTACCAAACACCGTCGCAGCGCTGTGATGGCAGGATACAGCCACTGGAACGCAGGCAGGACAGGTAGCCAGACTTGCACTGCAGTTGAATGGCTGGACACACGCACCCATACACACAACACACAAAGCAGTCAAGAGATGAAGAAAGTGTCTGCTCGGAACATCTTTCGTACAGTCAAGAGATATTAGTATATTTGGAGGAGGTGGTAGCCTAAAACAGGCTCGACAAAAGTTATCGGCTTATGCCAACAACTCAGTGTTCTGGTACCCCACCCTAACCATACACCTACAAGTATAACATATCCTAAGGACTCTGGCCGAGATGCCCGACTGGTCCTGGGTCCTGTGATTAGCACGATCTTCATTTGTGATGATGAAAAGTGGCAGGTAACACCCAGACTATTACATGCTCTGTAAATAGGAAAGATCAACGCCACCAGAATCTGCCTTCCTACAAGCCTGAAGCTTCTCTACACAAGAGGGATATATTGGCTCTCTTGAAATTCAACTTACGATTACATGAGGCAGCTGCCCCACTCCAGGAACCGTCAATCTGGCAGATGCGCACAATGCTTCCCTGCAGGTTGTATCCGGAATTGCAGCCGAAGACGACGCTGCCTCCAGCAGAATAGTTTGTGCCCTGGGAGTAGCCGTTGGTCGGTTTAGCTAGCGGTGTGCACACACCGGCTGTACAAGTCACATGCACGTACACAGGCACGCACACACACAGGCACGTACACACACACACACGCACACACACCACGCACACACAGGCACGCACTCACGCACACACAGGCACGCACACACACACACACACACACACACACACACACCATCAGGAAACCAATGCCAACAATTAACATCTGCCAGTGTGTGTACTTTGCGAGCACAACCTAAGGAAATCCAAGAAGAAGCTGGAGAAGCAATGGCCTTGTAATGTCCTTACTCCACAGTATGCATTCATTGTGATAAATGTCGATTTGATCACATGCTTCAACTTACGTCCAGTCGTGCCGCATTGATATTCGTCTGTGTTGTCTGGACACTCAAAGAAAACGCCATTGCAGAACTTGGATGAGGCCAGGCAGGTACCATCACGACATGGCTGGAAGCCACTCTTGCAAGGTGAGGCCACTGTGCACACAAACGTCAACAAAACAAAATCAGTAATAACGCAAATGTAGAGTATCACATCATTCACCTATACTCAGCAGGGGAAGAAACAACACTTTTGAAAAGAACATGCCAAATAAACATTTCTTGCAGCATGTACGCACAAAACACGGTTAGGGTCAAGGTTAGGGTTAGCACAACAAATGCACACAGTGCGCGAGCAGCACTGACTACATTGCAGTACAGTCTCGTACATGGTCCCAGTGTAGATCACAGAAGTCACAGCAAAAGACATCAGTAACGTTGCTTACATGTGCAGACAGGTGGTACACCATCCCACTTGCCACTCAGCTGGCAGGTGCGGGTGGCAGATCCCTGGAGAACGTATGGCTGGTAGCAGCCAAACGCAATCTGGCTGCCGTAGCTGGTCATGCTGGCTCCCTGGATGTAGCCATTTGGTGGAGTCTGCTGGGGCAGACAGTCTTGACCTATACACACAAGAAAGCAAATGAAAAAGAACACAAATATTTGTCTTTCAAAGATATTCATCCAGCATGTAACAGCTGAACAAAGACCACTTACGAGTTCAGTAAGAGAGGAAGCATGTCTTTTGGTACCAAGACTGTGGAAAGGAAATCACTAAAGACTGAGGGAGTTCCAATGAGCTCTCCAAAGACCGACGGCAGTTTTTATGCCACCAGCTGGTAAAGATTTGGTGGGGAAAAAGGTGTCATACGTAGCAGACCAACTGACACTTCACTGGTGCTGCATTAGCACCTTTCACAGCTGTAAACCGCCTTGCAGCTGAGCACACAGCCCTTCACTGAGCACACAGCCCATGTCACACTCCATAGGCTGTAGCCTGGCAGGCTGAGGTGTGAATACCTTCCATTGCATCCAGAACACCTAGCTTACACTCATACACATGCAAGCCATGCAGTGGGGCTGCATGCCTGTCAACAGTGTGTGACACATGCATGCACATTCAGCCGCGATGCAGGAGTCACAGAACTACTTCACACTCTACACGCTCGTCTTACCTGGTGCTGCAGTGCCGCGTGTGCTAGTGCAGTTGCTCTCGTCGGAGCCATCCGGGCAGTCATACCACACACCGTCGCAGACCTTAGTGGCCGAGATACAACCACCACTGCCACCGCACTTGAACTCGTGGTACTTGCAGGGAATATCAGGGACTGAAGATAAAAGAGAAAGAAAATGAACACATCCGTCAAGGGACAATTGTTAATGATACACTGCTACAAAAGCATGCTTTGTTTATCTTTGCACAGCAGTAGCAATTTAATATCATTCAAATAGATATTCAACACAATACTTGGCCTGCCAGCCTGATAGCATGATGCCGGCATGATAACATGATAACATGATAGGAGGTATTAGGAAGTATTAGGAACACATGACAGTAGCATTGTCACCGCTTACTTGAGCATGTAGCAGGAACGCCGCTCCACGTTCCGGAGACGTCGCAGTAGCGCACAACGCTGCCCTGGAGTACGTAGGGTGCGTTGCAGGCGAAGAAGAGACCAGTGCCGGGCGTGACACCTGTTCCGGTCACCTTGCCGTTCAAAGGCGCCGTCAGTGCTGTGCAGTTCTTACCTGCAGGGACCAGGCCAGGGCAGGGCAGGGCAGGGTAGGGCAGGGTAGGGCAGGGTAGGGCAGGGCAGAGCAGGGCAGGAGCATGATACGCAACATACCGGAATGATCACTTGCATAGCAATACAACACTAGCATAGAGTAATACCAAAATTGATACCGTATCATGATCATAACTTTAGCCCGACACACACCATGACCAGTTAGTTGCATGTATCGTCACCAGTAGTTAGTTTCTTGACCATTTAGACATCATTAATAATCAGGCATATGACTGGTGAAAGAGCATGTTATCAGCCATACAGAATACCATCAGTTGCACGGCTAAGAAAGGCTATCCCGTGTAATTTAGGCTATATGCGGTAACCATGGTTATGCACATGACTGTACGTACCAGTTGTGTTAGTGCTTCCACAGTAGAGCTCATCGGAGCCATCAGGACAGTCAAACTGTTTACCATCACACCAGGCTGACTTGGCAATGCACACAGTGCTACCGGCACAGCGCACCTGAGAGCTGGTACACGGCTGAATGACCTCTGTACATACACACGCACGCACGCACGTGCACGCACACATACACATACACACACACACACACACGCACACACACACACACACACACACACACACACACACACACACACACACACACACACACACACATGTCCAGAAGAAAGACAGACAGAGTCGCACACATTAGTTAGCAATGGTGTAGGTGACAAGGCATTGGTAACTGCATCCACACCCAATGTATCTCTCATTACAGTGAAACCTGTCTAAGATGACCGCTCAAGCGACCTTCAAAATGTGGTCTCTGTTACTGTGACTACAAGTAGGTGGTCTTCTTATCCAGTGCCATTTGACTGGAAATAGCATCCCTTGGTCCTGGTTTCAGTGGTCTTTTAGGACAGGTGGTCGCCTTATCCGAGTGGTCGCCTTGACAGGTTTTGCTGTAGTTCCATTCGTAAGTAAATTGTGCTCTATGCCACTTCCTTAATAAGTGAATTTTAAACTGAGTAACACAGGGAAAGGTTAGGACATTGTACCATCAAACATAACAGTTTTACCAAGTTGTCCTGAATATGGAGGTGCACAACAACTAAGCTATTTGATTGGGTACAGCTTGGATGGAACCCGTGTGTTCTGAAATTGGAGCCATTCTTTGTTGAGAGTTCGCTGGTGCTAAGGGAGGTTTTACCGTATTTAGCGCACGGATCGATCAGTGCAACACCACACTACAATTTTGTGGCTGTTCCCAGCGACACTTTGAAGGAGCGCAACACTTTACAACGTACTTGCACAATAGGAGTCGATGCCGTCGAAGAATCCATCAGCCTGGCATGTGCGCACTGTGGGTCCTTGCAGCACGTATGGCGGGAAGCATCCGAAACTGACCGAGTCACCGACAGCGGTGCCAGTTCCTTGCTGGTAGCCATTAGCAGGTGATCCGAGAGGCAAGCAGCCTGAGACGTTAGCCAATGCCAAGTCGAAGAATCCATTGGCCATGCGGTAGAAGTTGTTGTGGTTGTTGTCCCAGATGACGTTCATCCAGCCGGCTGCGGAGATGGTCGAGACGACTGTGCCTGGCAGACCACCGTTCTGGTTACCCCAGATCCAGTCCTGTCCCGGTACTACACGCGTGCCAACCTTGAACAAGTTGGCAATGACGACGGGCGACAGCTTGCTGTAGTCCTGGAATCGGGTGGCATTGGCCGGAACTGTGCACACAGTTTATCACATACATACACACGTACACACGCACACACACACACACACAAACACACACACACACACACACACACACACACACACATATGCATGCACACACACACACGCACAGCAATGCTTGGAATTTGCTTGCATTACATGACTTCAGAAAACCACTTCACTACTATAGTTCACTTCACTACTATAGTTCACTGCACTAGATCCACTGCTCAAGAACGAGGACATTCACACTTGTAGAAGGGATTACTTACGGACACAAGTTGGCTGAGAACCAGACCAGAAACCTCCGACACAGGTACGTTGTGCAATGCCCTGAAGGACATAGCCTGACTTGCAAGAGTACGTTCCTACATCGTTGTGGGCCAAGCCAGACGTGGTGACGAATCCATACAGGATGCTCTGCAGAGCTGGACAGTTGGTTCCTGAAGGAACAGGAGTGGAAAGCCAAGCAGTGCAGCACTTATCGCAACAGGACTACGGGAGAATGTACGGCTCTGCTTCTCAACTGCAAGTTATGACATGTTTTCAACATGTTGGTACATGTAGCCAGAACTGGAGACCCTGCCTTGATCAGCGTCAAGAGAACAAATCATCAGTTCATGTGTGTGACAAGACGACAGTGTACACACACCCATGGCAACACCATATTCACCATGGCAGCATCACATGCACCATGGCAACGCCACATTTACCATAGCAACACCATATTCACCATGGCAACACCGCACTCTCTCACCTTGCACCAGGTACAAGTCATACTTGCTCGAGTATCCCATGCGGTAAGAGAAGATACGTCCGGAATCCCACTGCACTTGTACGAGGTAGCTGGCTGTGAAGTTGGAGATGATGGTGCCGACGCCAAAGTCGTCCTGTGAGCCGTAGCTCCAGTCCTTTCCACGCACCACACGTGCACCGATGTGGAACAACTGTTGCAGCTTGGCAGCTGTGTAGGTGCTGTAGTCGGGCACTGTAGCAGGGGATCAGGACGCAAACAGTACAGAAGCATGCTTGTGAATGTCACCCTGAGCTCTGCAGTTGAGACCTAACAAGATGTGAAAGAGCTAGCTGTCCGGACATTCAATGTATACATGTATACGAGCATAATTAGAAGATATCTATTATGTTCACGTACACTGCAGTCTGTACTCTTTCTGACTCTTCAACAATATATTCAAGAGAACATATCTACATATAAACGGAGTTAAAAAACACTTTTTCATCCTCTTATTACTGTGTGTATAAACCTAACACCTTTGACAGAAGACATGCATATCAAGACATGCATATCAAGACATGCATATCAAGACATGCATATCACTGTCAAACAACCAGGGTCAAAAGTATGCAGCATTCCAGTTCATGCTCGCATCCACTAGTCAACGCCACAATCGAGGAGCACGTACGCGACTGAGCAGTGGTGTTGGTGCAGCCAATCTCGTCGCTGCCGTCCACGCAGTCCCACCAGTTGCCGTCGCAGTTCTGCGCCTTGGGAATGCAGGCGCCGGTGGCACAAGCGAACTGTGCAGCCGTGCAGTTGTTACTAGCTGCACAGTCAAACAGAGAGAGCGAGAGAGATGGCCAAGGCAAAGCACAGTCAAACACAGAGAGAGATGGCCAGGGCAAAGCACAGTCAAACACAGAGAGAGATGGCCAGGGCAAAGCACGTTCATCACCATAAGACACACAGGCTAAGACAGGCTCAGCGAGCATGACAACCTGAAACATGAACTGCAATGGAACTGACAGCAGTAGTTAGCCGTCAACACAATCTGAATGAAATGCATGTACAGACAAATGGACAATGACACTCAACCTTTCTAGACTGATTGGAAGAAGAAAGTTTGCATAGGCTCTGAACAACGTACCGGCGGTTGGCAAAATAATCGAGCAGTACTTCTCATCAGAACCGTCAGAGCAGTCTGTGTGGAGACCGTCGCAATGGCCGGCCTTGGGAATGCAGGTGCCGTCATCGCACTGCCATTGGGAGGCCTTGCATGCAGCTGTGTACGTAAACACACACACACACACACACACACACACACACACACACACACACACACACACACACACACACAGGCGCATGTACATACAAAGATAAACAAGAAGCAACTTGAAAAGTGTGCACAGAGAAGTGCATGCAGAACAGCCATCAGCAAGAGATCTTGACGGTGATAAGAGTGTAGTAGTTGCATTAGTCCAGCTACTCCTGCTCCTGTATGTATCTACGGACGACTTCTAGGCAACACTGTATGGAAAGAACTGTGTGTCAGTAGCTAAGCACACTCAATGTCCGGAATTTGCTCATCAAGCATTACACAGACCAAGCATTACACAGACACGCCAGGGTATGTGTGCTAGTGCCCGTATTGCTCGTCACCACTGTCAAACAAAGCCCTTTTGGCCGTTGGTTCACCTGTCCAGCTGCCAGGGCTGTACACAACTGTCCAGCACGTGCCCACTCACCTGAGCAGACGGCCGTGAGGCCAGACCAGAGACCAGGCGCCTGGCAGGTACGGCTGATGGATCCTTGCAGGGCGTAGCCAGTGCGGCATGTGACCGTCACCTTCTCACCAAACTTGCCGGTGTTGGCGGTGATTGAACCATCAACAGGTGCCTTCAGGACTGGGCAGCTGGATGCTGAAGTGCATGAAGCAGAGGAAAATTAGAAAACACGGTTCCGACTTTGGTGCTTAGTACTGCCTACAGTTTATGTAGCGCCGCTTCACTTTCAGCCGACGACTTAGACGTGACGTGTAAAGGAATCCATCCATCTATGCACAGCAACTGCACTAAGCCAACATGCACATGACCGTACGCTGCGGAGCATTGCACACAACCGAGACTGAACTCCAGATCACTCACCTACGCCCATAGCCACATGCAAGCCCAAACCTACTAGAGACAGTGTGCGCACGTATGCACATGCATGGGAATGTGCAAGGGCATGCAGTACTGCGGCCCTGATCTGCTTACCGGCGTAGAGTTGCACCTCAAACGTGCCAGCACCGACCTGATATTCATAGAAGACTGCCTTGGCGTAGTCCCAGGCAACCTGGATATGGTTAGGCTTGACGTAGGCACCAAGTCCCTGGATAATGGTGCCAGGGCCACTCTTGTCCTGTGTTCCAAATACCCAGTTAGGTCCTCGTACAACACGGGCGCCGGTAGTGAAGATGGCAGCAAGCTCTGCAGCTGTGTACTTGGAGTAGTCAGCCGATGTTTCTGAAAGAGTCAAGGTGGAGAGGAAAGGAGGGGAATGAGTGAGTGAGTGTGAGACAGTGAGTAGGATCCCTTACCCTAGCCTAACACATCAAAAGGGCCTGTAACTCACACTCGACAAATTGTACTCATGCCTCAGTCTCAGAGAGAGCCCTTGAGTCTTTGTTGTCAATCCGTACCACACGGTAGAGTACTGCAGTTAGACTGTAGCATTAGACCATAGCAGTTACCGGTAGTAGCATATTGCAGTACTAGACTGTAGCTTCAGACTGTAGCATTAGACCATAGCAGTTAGTATCAGACAGTAGCATCAGACCATAGCAGTTGATTGACTTACTGACACAGGCCGTGGCGCCGTTAGTCCAGCTGCCCATGCTAGTGCACGTCCTCGTTGCCGGACCACTCAGAGTGTAGCCAGCTTGGCAGGTGAGAGTGACCGTGTCATGAATGTTGTAGCCACCAGTCAGGCTGCCGTATGTGGGTGGTGAGAGTGGGTTGCAACTTACAACTGAGCACAGGAGGAATAGGACAAAACAAAATCATCCCTTTATACTCCAGTAGAGGGCAATAAGCGAGCAATGTTTGCACAAGGAGCATTTACAGGAGATATACGCCCCCCCCCCCCCCTCTCTCTCTCCCTCTCTCTCTCTCTCTCTCTCTCTCTCTCTCTCTCTCTCTCTCTCTCTCTCTCTCTCTCATGTACACAGACACATGCATACAGGCACAGACACAGACACACAACCACACACCATTCCATTCCATTGCATGTACACCTCCAACACGACAAATGCACAAGCGTATGTACTCGTACATAAGCTGGCTGTATAGTAGTCAACAAGCAGCTCAGCACACGTTGCACACTACAGCCATGCGGACTGCCAACATACCTGGAGCTAGGTAGAGGTCGTACATGCCACTGGCACCCATGCGATAGCTGCCCTTCTTGCCTGCATCCCAGGTGACCTGCATGTAACCGTTGCTGCTGAGGGCGCTGGTCACTGTACCGGTACCACCCTTACCGCCATCGTCACTGCCCCAGGACCAGTCCTTGCCGCGAATGACACGGGTGCCGATGGGGAATGTTGACATGATGCGCGCTGGGCTGTAGGCCGAGTAGTCGGGGTACACTGCAAGAAGAAACGAGGATCAGAGCAGCAGCGAGTGACAGTGTCGTGGCAGCTGGGTGTAAGTGGTGCTCAAACAGCCCATTCGGTCCGCAATTCTCTCAATTCTGTGCTGTTATAGTATACATGTACATGTGTATGGCAACGGACATCTATTCCAACTCACAGTGTGACAATATATACATGTATGTCATGTATGTCATGATAGCCTCCAAGAAAAATCCAATGCCAACAGCTGCAGGGCTGCGCAGTGAAATCTGGCCATCATGAGTCAGCTAGTGCAGGGCCACTGACATAGGTACGTGTGATCTAAGTTGTTCCCAAGTATGTGTGCATCAGAATGTGCTACCCTCGTACTCAGCCCCGAACTCATACCTGGACAGCATCCAGCTTCGAATGTCAGGTCGTCAATGGCAATGTCTCCCTGGAAACTTGGTCCAACGTAGCCGATGAACAAGAGCTGATAGCACAAACACCAGACAGGATGAGGTCAGTCGGCGATATGCAAGAATAAGGAGCATATGGGTAGAACACACACCAAACCCACTGCCTTTCAGATCAGTATTGAGAGCAGTGGAAGCCGCCTACTATGTTAGTATGGAGAAAGCGAAACGGGCGAGAGCACAGTCAAGCAGTGTAACTTGGTTACAGGATTAGCCATAGGATTAGTCAACTAAACCTGGCAGTCAAGCCAGCCACTACGCATACTCACTCTGTATGCAGTTGAGACACTGGCAAGTGAGAGAGTTCGCCTCATCCACACATCGCCATGATCTCCGGGAACCACCAGCAGGGACGTGTTGCCGGCGTTGGTGATCAGCCAGATTTCCAGCCTGTCAATGTCCACACCGTACATGTGAATCCAGATGGATGCCGAGCAGCCGGCGCGTGGTGGTGGGTTGAATGCCGGAGAGAGCATGATGGCACGGTCACCAATCACACGTGGGAACGAAGTCTCAATGAACATGTAGCTACCAGCCGGAGTGCCCAGAGTGTGGTCGATGGAAGGTCCTGTACCGAAGGACGAAGTCCCGGACCGGCCACGCGACCAGTCAAAGTCATCGTCGCCGGACTGTGACTGAACGAATCCATCCGTGCCATCTTCAAAGTCGTATGTGACACAGCCTGAACGCAAGACGCCAAAGCATGGTGAACAGCTACTGTCAGGTGATTGGTGATTACCGCAGCATTTGGAAACGCTCCTCATTCTAGTAACACTACATGGCCAAGACTGTAGAATCATGCTCCTAGGAGCCAACGCATACCATCACACACAATATTATACAGCATGACAATACTCTGTTCCTTACCTGGAGCAGCCGTTGCAGCTGTTGGTGGTAGAGTGTATGTCAAGTCTGTACCAGAAACACACCGCAGCAGATGATACACCAGCTTGTAAAATGGCTAACCTCATACCATTGCAACACCATCCCAACTATTGTTTCATGTGCATGCATGTCTACTTCTTTGTTGTCAGTTACCTGGACTCTGTGTCAATAGAAAGTGTGAGCATATACTGTAGTACAAGGACACCAGTGGTATGCCGGTGGAAGACACCAATGTAATGAGTGCTAACCACAGAGCAGTGATCAAGTACTTGACAGAGCTACAGAGCAACTAGGCGTTCTGCATGTGTGTAAACCCGAGTCTGGAACCAAGGCCTACACTCCAGCCAGTGCAGGCTATGTGCAGACCGAAGCACGGAGTGTGAATGCGACTTACCGATGACGCGATACAGGTCATACATGGAGAGAGCTCCCATTCGATAGCTGAACGAGTTGCCGTTGTCCCACCTGACCTGCAGGTAGCCACCGCTGGTCAGGTTGGCTGTGACTGTTCCTTGACCGAAGGAGTCCTGGCTACCCCACTGCCAGTCCTTGCCGCGAACAACACGTGTGCCCACAGCAAAGAGCCCTGCTAGCTGAGCCTGGCCATAGATACTGTAATCGGGGGAAGCTGCAGGTGACGAGTAAGTGAAGACAGTACACAAGATACAGAAGGCATCAGGCATCAGCTACAGTGTCACGACCTATGTCAGACAGACCACATTACCACTGAAGTTAGTTGACCCTAAAACGATAATACGGGCCACGCAGAAAGAAACCTGTCCCATCCGACAGGCATTGCCTTGAGCATGTACGCTATTATGCAGTTTGGTGAATGTGAATTCTTGCCGACGTACCTCCACAGCATCCAATACCAAAGGAAACGTCGTCGATGGAAATATCACCAGTGAAGCTAGTGCCAGCAATTCCCTCAAACACAAGCTGTAGAACACACATCGACACACAATGCAGGTATAATCTTCAATGCAATCGTACACACACACACACACACACACACACACACACACACACACACGCACGCGTGCACACACACACACACACGCACGCACACACACATAATTGTGCACACTGTAATGATTATAACTAATAATACTCTGGGAAATGTACTGTGAAGTTTGGCATGCCTCTGGACAGTGTGGATATCTGCTGTTTATGATGTGAAAATGGTAAAGTTGTATGTTCACCTCCACTCATCCCAAAGTTGACAGCAAAACAAACAACCAGTGCTAGGCCTACCTGGAATGTGCCACTAGTCTTGCCAATAGCGAACTGTGCCTGGTACCACGTGTCACCCTGATCACCCTTCTTTGTCCAGGCAAGCAGTGACGTGCCATTGCTCAACTTGATGTAGACATTCAGTGTGCCGATGGTTGCACCGTACATGTGGTACCAGAAAGTGGCCTGGCAGATACTTCCTGGAGGCGACGGGTAGGCTGGGGAGATCAGGCGAGCCTCGTCTCCAGCGCTGGCTGGGGAAGATGTCTCCAGGTACACGTACTGACCTGCAGTGAACCAATTGCATTTAACAAACCGGCCAGCGGTCACAAGGTACACATTGTTTGCATTACTGACAACAGTACAATTGTGTAGTGGCCACTGTAATAAGAGATCGCTCACCCGAGACCCCATACCGTACTTGAACAAGCATTCTGACCTGTCTACGAAGACTGGTCTTCTATGCACCATGAGATATGTGCTAATGCGCGCCACACTCAGTGGATTCCTTCCTGGTGATAAGAAACAACCTCAATTCTTCCCATAGAGTTTGTACTAATTGAGTAACTTGGAAGGGTTTCTGCTTAACTTTATGACAAGAAGTAACATGGCGTTGGCAGAGAAAGAGAGAGAGAGAGAGAGAGAAAGAGAGAGAGAGAGAGAGAGAGAGAGACCGTCATCATACAGCACAAGAATTGCAGGATCTTACCAAGGGAATTTCCCAGAGTGTGGTCCACCGACGGACCGGTAGCAAATGATCCTGTATTACCTCTGTTCAAACCCCAGTCAATGTCATTGCTGGCATCGTTCGTGTAGCCCATCAGGCCACTCTCAAATGTTGTGCGAGGACGGCATGCTGTGAAAAACACAGAAAGCAAGCGCAGAGTAAGATCGTACCCAAAGCAGTGGTCCTCAATTCATGCATGTTACAGTGAACTTCTTCCTGGCATTTGTGCATGCTGTATTCCTATGCACTGCACACGGCTCTCTACATTGAGATAAATCGTTATCAAGAGTGATTGAAAAGCTCATCACACCCTGGTTCTAAGATTTGCGCAGCATGAATCATCACCCCTTGTGTAGTGCTCTCTCCAGCACATGCACGCTGCACACCAAGTCGTCATGCTTACTGTACACGCTTTCAATGTTCATGCACTCAATGTGTGGAGGAGAACACCATCGCTATGGGACTCACCAGGAGTAGGTGTCGGCTGTGTGGTGACGACTGGTGGAGTTGGTGGGCTTGTAAGATCTGCAACACAATACACACAGACATGCACACAAGCAAGCATATACACATGCACACACACACACAGGCAAACACACACACACACACACACACACACACACACACACACACACACACACAGAGGCATACAGGCACACATGCTAAGTTAATCATAAGTAGATTTTAGCATAGCACTATTCATGAACAAGTAATGGTACAGCGGCATGCAGTGAACAAGTAAATGTGAGAATTGACCTAATAACGTATTATTAAAATCACTGAAGTCATCCTAGCACAGCATGATTTATCCTAGTCACCAGGAATTCTTACATGATTTATCCGGCCTAGTCAACAGGAATTCTTACATTATTTATCCTAGTCACCAGGAATTCTTACATGATTTATCCTAGTCACCAGGAATTCTTACATGATTTATCCTAGTCACCAGGAATTCTTACATGATTTATCCTAGTCACCAGGAATTCTTACATGATTTATCCTAGTCACTAGGAATTCTTACATGATTTATCCTAGTCACCAGGAATTCTTACATGATTTATCCTAGTCACCAGGAATTCTTACATGATTTATCCTAGTCACCAGGAATTCTTACATGATTTATCCTAGTCACCAGGAATTCTTACATGATTTATCCTAGTCACCAGGAATTCTTACATGATTTATGCTAGTCACTAGGAATTCTTACATGATTTATCCTAGTCAACAGGAATTCTTACATGATTTATCCTAGTCACCAGGAATTCTTACATGATTTATCCTAGTCACCAGGAATTCTTACATGATTTATCCTAGTCACTAGGAATTCTTACATGATTTATCCTAGTCACCAGGAATTCTTACATGATTTATCCTAGTCACCAGGAATTCTTACATGATTTATCCTAGTCAACAGGAATTCTTACATGATTTATCCTAGTCACCAGGAATTCTTACATGATTTATCCTAGTCAACAGGAATTCTTACCGACAAGACGGTACAGGTCGTACGCATTGGCATAGCCCATGCGATAGAAGCCTACGAATCCGTTGGCCCAGGTGACCTGAACGTAGCCCTGTGCGTCCAGTGCAATGCTGACATTACCCACCATGGTGGGACTGACGTCCAGGTCGCCCCACTTCCAGTCTCGACCACGCGTGACTAGAGTGCCTACGGGGAAGAGGAGCTGCAGCTGAGCAATGCTGAAGGCGCCATAGTTGATAGGTGCGGATGGCGTGGCTGCGAACAGAAAGGAAAAGAGAGCAAGGGATCGTACATTCCATTGCCTTATTTCTATTTGTACATGTACATGCAAGTCGAGTGCTTAATTAAGCAGCCAATCGTAGTGACAGGTATGGCCCTGCTCGTGGTAGAGCACATTTATGCACTAGCCGCATATTCGGGGTTTTTTTTTCAACTGGTACCCGAGACCTATCGGAACATGCATTAAACGTGGAATAGGCAGAGGTACTGCGGCTTACGTGGTGCAGTAGTGATGAAGGGTCCTGTCACTGAAGGCAAGCCGATATCTAGAAGAACAGCAGACAAGCATAGACGGGGAGAGTCACAAACTGGCAAGCCTAATGAAAGAGCAAAACATTCTTGCTACAATGCAACAAAAATCATCATACATTCCGCAATATCCCAAGAAAGACGGCTGAACAGCACAGGTAATACTCCTATGGAGCAGCACAATAACAAGGTCAAAAGCAACCGGTTGACAAGCACACAGTCCCTTCAGGACTACATTGATTGAGCATACCTTGAACACGAGCCAGGTCATAGGAGCCGGCACCCATTCGGTATGAGTACACATTTCCGTTATCCCACTTGACCTGCACCAGGGCTGGTGCCGATGAAGATGTGGGCAAGACAAACTTCTGCACGGTACCACGGCCAGTCGGACCGCCGTCCTGGAAGGAATACTGCCAGTCTCGACCGCGCAGGACACGTGTGCCAGCACCGAACATGATTGCCAGCTGAGGAATGGACAGTAGCGCGTAGTTGGGAGTTGGTGGTGTAGTGGGCTGGGGGGATGTGGGAGCAAATGTCACCGCTCCTGTCAGCAGATCTGCATGTAAGGCCAGCAAAAAAGTACACATTGGATGCTTAGAACCGCGGCACTGCAACCCTGCAGCCATGAGGGTAATGTGGTGTGTGCGTGTGTGTGTGGGGGGGGGGGGGGGGGCTGGCATAGATTATACAGTCTTGCTGAATGCATCCACGTTCCCCCAGTGTGGGGACTGAAAGTCTGAAACGGTCACCATTGTGCCCTGCTATCCACATCCAATGATACAGTGCATTCCGTGAATCCAATAAGCACTCGAAAGATACTGCAGACATTTCCCGCACACTCCAGCTACTCACCAGCCAGTCTGTACAGCTCATAGAGTCCGTTAGCACCCATAGCATATGTATAGGATACTGAACTTGTGCCCCATGCGACCTTCACATAGCCGGCCGACCATGCGGTCGTGACGTTACCAACACCGCTGCTTCCCGGGTGAGAGTAGACGAAGTCCTTGCCACGAACGACGCGTGTGCCAATAGGGAACAGACCGATCATCTGAGCGTCGGAGTACACAGAATAGATTGGCGGCTCTGGAGCAAAAAGAAAAGAAAGAAAAGAGAGAACGCACGTCAGTGGGTAACATCGGCCTAACCACGTGTCTTTGGTCTCATCACATGTAGACTAGAGAGTAGAGTCTTCCCACAGTTCAACATTTATAAAGGACATAGTAATCTGACTGTGAAGGAATATAGCATAGGTTGGTACACTGGAGAACTGTCACATGACTTACTGACTGCATTGTTGCAGCATCCGGTGCTGTAGATGATGTCATCAATAGCCATGTAACCCAGTGAGCCGGTGTTGAGTGTTCCGGTGACCTCCAGCTGTGTGTTGCCGCACGGTCAGTGCAGTAGGGACACAAACAAAGCGAGCAAGTTGCAAACAGGGAAAGAGTGTGGACAATGCCCTTCTGATTGCTGGCATCAAGTTACCCCCCCCCCCTCCCTTTCTCACACATGCACTAACACACATGTACATGTCTGGATCTAAAAACAAAACTATATTGTTTTTTATCCAAACTAATGTACATGTACAAGTGACACATGTCGTGGCCTCCAACGTGAGATGCTATGTGAGATGCTACATGACCTGGAGCTGTTCTGCAGTGCTCGCTTACTGAAACGGATTGCAGACCTTACCTGGAAGTGGCCAGCGGACATTGGAACAGCGATGGTGACTGAGCGCCAGACGTTGCCAAGATTTCCAAGGAAGGTGCGGCCAGCAACCACCGGACCACCTGCCTGGCGCACGTTGACCGCCATCTTGGAGATGGAGACGCCAAACATGTTGTAGAAGAGCGTGACTGAACAGCTGGGACTGGTTGGCGCGGAGAGGATGGGACCGCTGAGGGTCACGGTGCTACCACTGGCATGTGTCGCTGATGAGTCAACATATGCAAAGTAGCCTGGAGAATAACACAGACGGCGAAGAATAGGGTATTTAGGAGAGAGTTTAAAAGAAATGATCACCAAACTACTTTTAATTTAGAGAAAGAGAAGAAGCAAATTGTCACGAGCTATGAGTAACAACAACACCCCAATTCAACCAGATAGTGACAACACCCCAATTCAACCAGATAGTGACAACACCCCAATTCAACCAGATAGTGACAACACCCCAATTCAACCAGATAGTAACAACACCCCAATTCAACCAGATAGTAACAACACCCCAATTCAACCAGATAGTAACAACACCCCAATTCAACCAGATAGTGACAACACCCCAATTCAACCAGATAGTAACAACACCCCAATTCAACCAGATAGTAACAACACCCCAATTCAACCAGATAGTAACAACACCCCAATTCAACCAGATAGTAACAACACCCCAATTCAACCAGATAGTAACAACACCCCAATTCAACCAGATAGTAACAACACCCCAATTCAACCAGATAGTAACAACACCCCAATTCAACCAGATAGTGACAACACCCCAATTCAACCAGATAGTAACAACACCCCAATTCAACCAGATAGTAACAACACCCCAATTCAACCAGATAGTGACAACACCCCAATTCAACCAGATAGTAACAACACCCCAATTCAACCAGATAGTAACAACACCCCAATTCAACCAGATAGTAACAACACCCCAATTCAACCAGATAGTAACAACACCCCAATTCAACCAGATAGTAACAACACCCCAATTCAACCAGATAGTAACAACACCCCAATTCAACCAGATAGTAACAACACCCCAATTCAACCAGATAGTAACAACACCCCAATTCAACCAGATAGTAACAACACCCCAATTCAACCAGATAGTAACAACACCCCAATTCAACCAGATAGTGACAACACCCCAATTCAACCAGATAGTGACAACACCCCAATTCAACCAGATAGTAACAACACCCCAATTCAACCAGATAGTAACAACACCCCAATTCAACCAGATAGTAACAACACCCCAATTCAACCAGATAGTAACAACACCCCAATTCAACCAGATAGTGACAACACCCCAATTCAACCAGATAGTAACAACACCCCAATTCAACCAGATAGTGACAACACCCCAATTCAACCAGATAGTAACAACACCCCAATTCAACCAGATAGTAACAACACCCCAATTCAACCAGATAGTAACAACACCCCAATTCAACCAGATAGTAACAACACCCCAATTCAACCAGATAGTAACAACACCCCAATTCAACCAGATAGTAACAACACCCCAATTCAACCAGATAGTAACAACACCCCAATTCAACCAGATAGTAACAACACCCCAATTCAACCAGATAGTAACAACACCCCAATTCAACCAGATAGTAACAACACCCCAATTCAACCAGATAGTAACAACACCCCAATTCAACCAGATAGTGACAACACCCCAATTCAACCAGATAGTAACAACAACACCCCAATTCAACCAGATAGTAACAACACCCCAATTCAACCAGATAGTAACAACACCCCAATTCAACCAGATAGTAACAACACCCCAATTCAACCAGATAGTAACAACACCCCAATTCAACCAGATAGTAACAACACCCCAATTCAACCAGATAGTGACAACACCCCAATTCAACCAGATAGTAACAACAACACCCCAATTCAACCAGATAGTAACAACACCCCAATTCAACCAGATAGTAACAACACCCCAATTCAACCAGATAGTAACAACACCCCAATTCAACCAGATAGTAACAACACCCCAATTCAACCAGATAGTAACAACACCCCAATTCAACCAGATAGTAACAACACCCCAATTCAACCAGATAGTAACAACACCCCAATTCAACCAGATAGTAACAACACCCCAATTCAACCAGATAGTAACAACACCCCAATTCAACCAGATAGTAACAACACCCCAATTCAACCAGATAGTAACAACACCCCAATTCAACCAGATAGTAACAACACCCCAATTCAACCAGATAGTAACAACACCCCAATTCAACCAGATAGTAACAACACCCCAATTCAACCAGATAGTAACAACACCCCAATTCAACCAGATAGTAACAACACCCCAATTCAACCAGATAGTGACAACACCCCAATTCAACCAGATAGTAACAACACCCCAATTCAACCAGATAGTAACAACACCCCAATTCAACCAGATAGTAACAACACCCCAATTCAACCAGATAGTAACAACACCCCAATTCAACCAGATAGTAACAACACCCCAATTCAACCAGATAGTAACAACACCCCAATTCAACCAGATAGTGACAACACCCCAATTCAACCAGATAGTAACAACAACACCCCAATTCAACCAGATAGTAACAACACCCCAATTCAACCAGATAGTAACAACACCCCAATTCAACCAGATAGTAACAACACCCCAATTCAACCAGATAGTAACAACACCCCAATTCAACCAGATAGTAACAACACCCCAATTCAACCAGATAGTAACAACACCCCAATTCAACCAGATAGTAACAACACCCCAATTCAACCAGATAGTAACAACACCTCAATTCAACCAGATAGTGACAACACCCCAATTCAACCAGATAGTGACAACACCCCAATTCAACCAGATAGTAACAACACCCCAATTCAACCAGATAGTAACAACACCCCAATTCAACCAGATAGTAACAACACCCCAATTCAACCAGATAGTAACAACACCCCAATTCAACCAGATAGTGACAACACCCCAATTCAACCAGATAGTGACAACACCCCAATTCAACCAGATAGTAACAACACCCCAATTCAACCAGATAGTAACAACACCCCAATTCAACCAGATAGTAACAACACCCCAATTCAACCAGATAGTAACAACACCCCAATTCAACCAGATAGTGACAACACCCCAATTCAACCAGATAGTAACAACACCCCAATTCAACCAGATAGTAACAACACCCCAATTCAACCAGATAGTAACAACACCCCAATTCAACCAGATAGTAACAACACCCCAATTCAACCAGATAGTAACAACACCCCAATTCAACCAGATAGTAACAACACCCCAATTCAACCAGATAGTAACAACACCCCAATTCAACCAGATAGTAACAACACCCCAATTCAACCAGATAGTAACAACACCCCAATTCAACCAGATAGTAACAACACCCCAATTCAACCAGATAGTAACAACACCCCAATTCAACCAGATAGTGACAACACCCCAATTCAACCAGATAGTGACAACACCCCAATTCAACCAGATAGTAACAACACCCCAATTCAACCAGATAGTAACAACACCCCAATTCAACCAGATAGTAACAACACCCCAATTCAACCAGATAGTAACAACACCCCAATTCAACCAGATAGTGACAACACCCCAATTCAACCAGATAGTGACAACACCCCAATTCAACCAGATAGTAACAACACCCCAATTCAACCAGATAGTAACAACACCCCAATTCAACCAGATAGTAACAACACCCCAATTCAACCAGATAGTAACAACACCCCAATTCAACCAGATAGTGACAACACCCCAATTCAACCAGATAGTGACAACACCCCAATTCAACCAGATAGTAACAACACCCCAATTCAACCAGATAGTGACAACACCCCAATTCAACCAGATAGTGACAACACCCCAATTCAACCAGATAGTAACAACACCCCAATTCAACCAGATAGTGACAACACCCCAATTCAACCAGATAGTAACAACACCCCAATTCAACCAGATAGTGACAACACCCCAATTCAACCAGATAGTAACAACACCCCAATTCAACCAGATAGTGACAACACCCCAATTCAACCAGATAGTAACAACACCCCAATTCAACCAGATAGTGACAACACCCCAATTCAACCAGATAGTAACAACACCCCAATTCAACCAGATAGTGACAACACCCCAATTCAACCAGATAGTGACAACACCCCAATTCAACCAGATAGT